TTCTATATTATATTGTCTAGGAATGGGGAGAATGAATGAAGTCCTACATGAATTCAACCTTCAGCATTTGACTGATAATTTTGTTAGGGCTGATGTGAGTATATTATCTAATCTGTTGAAATATTTTGTTTAATAATTTTATAAGAAAGTTATCGTTTAATTTAATTTCAACGCCCACAGATATTGCATTTAATAGATTTTACCTTTGTTAATCCTTAGCACCTGTAAATCAATAAATTCTCAATTTTAAAATACGAATGAAAGTTTTATGGAAATGTGGACGTAAATTGTCGTCGCCCCTGTCGGTCGCTTGTAGAATTTGGTGTGATCATTGTTATATTGATGATGATGAGATCCTTAGAAAGTTCGAATTTCACGATTTTTTTATGATCAATTTTTTAGTAATTGCCCTTCACTAAAACGTCAAAATTTGGTTAGTGACCATATTTGCAATCGATTTTTGATGATTTTAATGAAATTTGATATGATCACATAATTTTGATGAGGTCTTGGTCAAGTTCGAATTTAAAGAAATTTGGAAGAACGGTATTTATATGTTAGTGCCGTTGACTTGTTAAAATGCATCAAAATTTGTTCAAGAGCACATTAAGGTGTTAATTCTCAATCGATTTGAAACTTGGTGTAATCATTGGAATTGATATGGTTTTGAATAAGAGGTTGATTACTTATGCAATGAACATTTTCTGAGTATTCAACAGAAACTTGACAGATTCATCATTATGATTCATGCTGGTCTTTATTGAATGTAAAATATAGAAAAACTGATTATGTGGGCGTATGTTTACCTTGCCTGGCAAGCTATCTTTGTTTATAATTTTAGGTGAGTATAGAAAATGTAGAATATTTATCAGATGGAGACTTCTTTCAATTGGGTATAATATGCATGGGAGATAAATGTCGACTGAAATCTCGATGTGTAAAATGTAAGTCACGTCCTTCGATGTCCTTTTTCTCTTACATTTAAATCAATACTTTCCTGTGACACTATTATATGTTGGAACACATCTTTTTGTGGCAGTAGAATAGCACTGTCGGTAGCGAGTTGCATTGCCCCGGCCTCCCTATGCGGTTATGTTCCATGTGTTCGAATCAACCTCATGATAAGAAAGATTTTACGACCGGTGTCTCCGAAAGTTGAAGTTGTGATCTCGACCCCCAACACCAATTCTCAATTTCTTGCTGACATTTTTTGGTTTGGTAGTTTTTCGGAATGAATTTTAGTAACACAAGGTTTGTCAGATAAGTTTGTGTTTCATGGTGAAGATAACTATGAAGAACTGGTTGAAGAACACTATACAGAAGGTTAGATTAATTTCTTTGAGGACATGTTGTTAGATAAGATCGGTGAGGACTGGTAGTTTCTCTGTTATGAACTTAAGACAAGCGATACTCAGAATAAAATGTAACAGTACATTTTTAATAGCTCAAGAAGCAATCAAGGATTCTAACGTATGAATGAAGTTTATAAATGTCTTTTGATAAATATGACGCATACAAATGGTGTTTTACTGAAACCTATTGGCAACCATAGTGGATCATTGGATTGATTATGAAAATGTATAACTCTTAGTCTGACATAAGAGATGTTAAGGATGTATTTAGAATGGGTGAAGTGCTTACAATAAAATCTTCTGACCTTAATTTCAGAAATAATCAAACCTAATACTGCTTCATCACAAACCGGACAGACAGAACTTACAGCTGGAAATGCTTTATCCCCAGGTTCAGGTAGTGTGCTCTACTTTTAAGTATTAGGGGTGTTAAGGTGAGGATAATGTCGATACTTTATGTGGAATATTCATATTTCTTGCCATTAAAGGTTACATCAGGTTGGAAGTTTCATTTAAATCGAAATCAAAGAATTTACTCTTCTTAATTCACGGGAAATGTTAGGATACTTCTTGCTCTGAGCCGTCCGTGGAAACTCCACCTGCATCTTCTGATATATTCATCTATTTTATCTGTGGTAGAAATTCAAGTAGAAATGGGAGCTGAAGCAAGATTTGAAATGGGTGATAAAGACAATGTTGTAAAAACAGGTGAGATTTAAAGACTAAAACGTCATCGGCGCTGAATCTGTGCAAGTCCTTCTATCATACAGTATTATCGTAATTGAGATTGTGATCAAATCCAGTGTTCATCACTTAACATTTTGCTGTCAATTTGGTTTTTCGGCATTTATGTCAGGTAGCCTTATCATAATTGTTTTGAGAACTTCGTGAAGGCTAGTTATACGATTTTAAAAACTAACCTGTTTTCATATTTTTTTCACTTTGATTAAACCATTTTATAACGATTATGATGTAAATATCTTTCAAATTGGCACCACTTTAATTGAAAATGAGGAAATCGCATGATTTTAAATTTCCCAATGGTATTATTATACTTATTTGTTTCAGAACAAAGTATAAAAGCAGAATATATTGGTACAGTTATAAAAGGTTTGTTTCGTTACTATATTAATTGTACAATGTACAGATACCAAAATAACATTGTCAACTTGAAACGTAGTTCATTTTTATCACAAATTTCATTTCAGTTATAGGGCTCGCGGTCAGTCCGTCCGTTCACATTTACCTTGTGCTCACTCTACAGCCTACAATTTTATATTGTTGTGGTATATTTACTTTGTTCATATTGTTGTGGTATATTTACTTTGTTCATATCGTTGTGGTATATTTTCTTATTGTCCATATTGTTGTGGTATATTTACTTTGTTCATATTGTTGTGGTATATTTATTTTGTTCATATTGTTGTGGTATATTTACTTTG